AGTTTCGGTCTTAACGTCTATGAAATTGGTTTTCCAGTCTGAAGGTCTGTTGAGTCTAGGTAAATTGGGTTCAACAGGGAGTTTTGGCAACGCCTATGTTTTACCTAAGCATAAGGACTTCTCACGTTGGCGCCCAATTTCTCGGACTTGTAATGAGCCAACCAGATTGGCCAGTGGCCGTGTGGCTCGTGCTTTGAATTGTTTGTTGTTCGCTCTTCCCCTTCACTCCAGCTTCAATCTCAAAGTTGTTCCTGATGTGATCCAAGGGCTCTCTCAAATGGACCGTGGTTTGACCGGTTACCGGGACCTGTTATCAGCCTCTTTCGACATTAAAGACATGTTTGTGTCTTTGCCACATGTGGATATCTTTCGTGGCGTCGAGTGGTTGCTTGATTATTTTGACAGCAAAGGTTGCAGAGGGGTGAATGTGCCAAGGAGAGGTAAGAAGGCCAGGCTATCTTTCCGAAGAAAGAAAGATGAATGTATCTTTGTCTCTTTTGACAATATCCGAGATATGGTAGCTTTCGACCTTCGTTTCTCTTACATTAATTCGGCGGGGATATTACTTAAACAGGTGATTGGTGTACCAATGGGGAAAGCTTTGAGCTGCCCTCTTGCTTGTATTCTGTGCTCCTTCGCGGAGTTTAAGTTTTTGAAAAACTTGGGTGCTGATCAGACTCTCTTCGAAGGCTTCCAGATAGTTGATGACGTTACGGTGTTCATAGCGGTCACTTCCTACTATGATGAACAGATGGCGTGCCTTTTACTTCATCGTTTTGCACAGTGTTACGGGTCTGTTCTGCGTCTGGTCCGAACGGATATGTCGCAAGAAAGTTGGCCTTTTGCAGGTGTGCACATTCATTGTGCTGGGACTTCAATCAGGACAGTCGCAACTTTGAAGAATATGCCTTTTATTTGGCACGAGGGATGTTTGGTTTTTGGTTGTTTTCAGGACTATGGCTCCTATTCGGCAAAGATGGCCAAAATCGGGGCAATTTTGAGTACCCTACACAGGGTTTTTGTATTGACACCCGATTACTGGGGGGCAGTGGGGGCGACATGAGTTGCTGCTTGCAATCAGGAGAGAGCTACTTATGCGCTCCTACCCGACCCGCCTGGTCGATTCCACTTTCTGGCGTTTCGGCAGGAAATTGGGTGGTGCGGTCTTAGAGGTGATAGGAGCCTGTGTCTCAACTAGGGCTTGGTAGGCTTACCAAGCAATGGTTATTACGCTGGCTTCTGTTTTTCCTTACCTTTTTTCTGACCTTTTTTCTTACCTTTTTTCGACAGGTATCTCCACGCGTACGGTAGGATGATATTTTTTGGGGGGTCGCTGTTTGATTACCTGTTAGGCTGTTTCTGATGACTCAGATTAGGCCGATAGCGGGGTGCGAAGGCCTCTTGCTTTTTTCCGATGCTGGGATGACTTTACCGTGGATTTTGCACTGGCTTCTGTTTGTTTCTTACCTTTTTCGATAGGTACCTCCACACCTATGGTAGGATGTTATTTTTTTGGGGTTGGCTGTCTGATATTTGCTTCTGATGACTCAGATCATGCCGGTAGCGGGGTGCATACACTGCATAGGCCTCTTGTTTTTTTCCGAGGCTGGGATGACTTTACCGTTTGTTCTGACGGGCACCAGAGTCCCTTATGGCCAACACTGGGCCTCCCCTGGGCCCAAAGTGCGGGGATTTAAGTACCATGCACTGCAAAGTCTGCCTCTCATCGTGCTTTTGCGATCGTGCTGAGACGGTTGTGTTATGCACAGGCGACGCCGATGCTCCGTGATCTGACTCCGGGTCTCCCGTCAGCGGTGTTCCTTCTGCCATCTCTGGTGCTTGTGACACCCTGGTCCATTCGGGAACAGGGAGGCGTTCGTTGCGCTGCCGGTAGAGACTGTTTCGACATCGGGAGCTTGTGCGAGCAAGGAGTGCCTGTTTCGATCTGCTTGTGTTCTGTGTGTGTGTTTGTTTGTGTTTGTCTGTGTGCAGGACTTCCAGCGTTGGGCGATGTCTGCTGCTGACATACATGACTTCTCAGTTATGTGTGCTGGATATGCAACTATCGTGAGGCATGTGCTGCCACCATACTGGATGTACGATATCGTTAACGGGAGTTCGATCATGGTCATGT